CCCACATGCACCCTGACTGTCCCACAGGTGCCCCCCCACCCTGACTGTCCCCCTGTCCCCCCAGCCCGCCGTGCGTCTGTACATCCCCAGATCCCCCGGGCCGGGGGTGGCCGCGGGGGGGTCCCCCCCTCCTCTGCCACCCCCCACGGAGGACGAGGACGTGCTGCCCGACGTGTTCTCGATGCTGCCCCACTTCGCCGACCTGAGCACCTTCATGATCCAGCAGGTCATCAACTTCGCCAAGGAGATCCCCGTCTTCAGGTGGGTGTGTTTGGGGGGGGCACACACGGGGCTGGGGCCATCCTGTGCCACCCCGGTGACGTCCCCTCGCGCCCCCCACCCCCAGGAGTTTGCCCATAGACACCCAGATCTCGCTGCTGAAAGGGGCCACGCTGCAGATCTGCCAGATCCGCTTCAACACCGTCTTCAACGCCAACACCAAGGTGTGGGAGTGCGGCCAGCACTGCTACACCATCCGCGACGGGGCACTGGGTACGGACCCTGGGGACGCCTGGGGGGCGTGGGGACGGCCCTGTGCCCCTCCCGGGTCACCCTGTCACCCCCCTGTGCCCCCCCAAAGCCGGGTTCCAGCAGGTCTACCTGGAGCCCCTGCTCAAGTTCCACGAGAGCCTGAGGCGGCTGCACCTGCACGAGGCCGAGTACGCCCTGCTCCAGGCCTTGCTGCTCTTCTCCCCAGGTGGGTGCCACACTGGGGGGCACGGGGGGACGGCTGGGTGTCCCCAGGGCCCCGCTGACGTCCCTTCACCCCCCCCCAGGCCACGCCGACATCGCCCAGCGCGACCTCATCGACCAGTTCCAGGAGAAGGTGGCCCTGACCCTCAAGAGCTACATCGACCACCGGCACCCCGAGGGCAGGTGGGTGCCCAGAGGGGGGTGGCAGAGTCCCCAGAGCAGCAGGGACAGCAGGGACAGCCACCAGGCGTGTCCCTTACCCCCCCTTCCCCAGGTTCCTGTACCCGAAGCTGCTGCTGCTGCTGACGGAGCTGCAGACGCTGAAGGTGGAGAACACGCGGCAGATCCTGCACATCCACGACCTGTCCTCCATGACCCCCCTGCTCTCCGAGATCATCAGCTGACCCCCTGCCGGGGCGGCATCCCCCCGGTCCCCAAGTGCCACCACGGGGAACAGAGTAAAGCTCCTTTATTCAGCCAGGCCCCCCCGGAGCCAGCCCGTGTGTCACCTGGGGGGGGGAACTGAGGCACGGCCGGGTGGCACCGTGGGGACAACGGGGACCCCCGGCCCCCCCGGGGACCTGCAGCAGCAGCCACCCCCACATGGTGGCACCGGGGACAACGGGCCCCCCCCCGTGCTGTCACATGGTGTCCCCAAGGCCGTGGCGTCCCTGTGGCCCCCCCGGGGCCAGGCCCAGTGGCTCCCTGAGCAGGACAGTGCCCCCCGTGCCCCTTGTGCCCCCCGTGCCCTCAGCCCACGGTGACGCTGAAGCCGCAGTGGAACCGGTTCCTCCAGTGGTTCAGGAAGGCGCCCAGGGCCAGCGTGACGGGCAAGGGGGGCAACTTCTTCTCCAGCACCCCCCCCACGCTCCAATTGCTGTCCAGGAGCCCTGAGGGGGCACAGGATGAGGGGGTGAGCACCAGGAGGGGGGCACAGAGTGGGTGCCATCCAGGATAGTGGGGGCCTCACCCACCTCTGAAGACGACGTTGGCGCGGGGCAGGTTGAGCTGGTACCCGAAGGCGAAGGTCGTCTCCTGCAGCCGCGTGTTGGCCTCCAGCTCCACCCCGACCTGTACCTGGGTGAGGGGAGGGCACAGAGGTCAGGGGGGCACGGGCACACTGTGGGGACACCGTGGGGACACCGTGGGGGGCACCCACCTGCTCGTTGGCCCGGTGGTAGTAGCTGGCGTGGGCCCCCCCGTAGCCCACGTTGAGCGTCGTCACCCACTTAGGGGCTGCAACAGAGGCAGACAGCACGAGGGGGGGGGGGAGCCTCGGGGTTGGGGGGGGCGTTGTTGTCGGGGGGGGTACTGTGGGACACCAGGGCGTGGGGGATACAGGGGGTGGCAGCTGTGTCCCAAGGGGGGCTGCGGTGTCCCCAGGGGGGGCTCTGGGTGTCCCCAGGAGGTGACAGCCCTTTCAGGGGGGGCTGTGGGTGCCCTGGGGGGTGACAGCGGTGCCCTGGGGGGGTGACAGCCCTGTCCCCAGGGAGGTGACAGCCCTGTCCCCA